TCAACCTCCATTGTACACTGCGGTTTGGTACACCGAAATACTACCCATCCCGATCACACAGCAAGAATACGGAGTTGAGGGGAGGAGGTTTCCAGTACCCTGCCGTTTTTGTTAAAGAACTGCTTTTCTACAGATTTCAAGTCTATCGTATCTTTTCTTTAAGTTTGAAAAGATTTCGTTTTTCGGTTTAAGAAGATGAACGAGTTTCTTCAGAAGTATTCAGACTTCCTTAGCTTTTTCCTTAGTTCATTATGTTGAGACCATTCCTCTGAAACCACAGATCTCTCATTCCAGACTCCTCAATATAAGTGTTTGCTCTAAATATCTTATTTCATTTTTTGTTTCTCTCCATTTTTGCATTCAATGCTTTACTGCATTGTTGTGAAAATGTGAAGCTCATGATTGTCCAATGAGAATGTGTTGCAAAGATTTAGGACAACTTAGATTGGGAAGAAGTTCAAAATCTCAATGCGATAATACAGTCAAGGGTATATCAATTTCTGGGAACACTACCATGCTGTAGAGAACTTGGTCAAAAGTGACAAACCTCTCTTTTATTCCCAAGGGTCGGTCGGTGTCTGCATGTTGTGATGGAATGGAAACGCGCCGACATGGCTATCCTGGGACTTTAGAGAAGGAAAAACGTTCGCAACCAAGGAAATGCTAATCTAATGGAAATTGCGCTGCAATCTACATTAGTTGTGAAAGCAACTTACCTAAGCGTTCTCTTCAATCGTTGTGATAAAGTGTGATTCGGTGCCATCAAACTTGCTTGTTGCAATAGTCCTGATATTTTGGAAGGCCAAATTCAGTGTTTTCGTCAAAAAATGCACATTACTTAATCATTCGCTTCCTTCCATGATTTGTAGTTCTCAATGCTATTAAAGTGTAAACGAAAAATTCTTTAAAATTTTCTTTTACGCCTTGTCGTTTTGCCTTGCCTTACTGTAGATTTCAATACCGTCGAATTGTATTTGGGAGACGATTACGCTGAGGATATCGATATGCACGGATTCATTCCGTCCTTCTCCTCTCCTACTGAATATATTCCATAAGTAGTACCGCCGTTGAGACGAGGGAACCATAACGTAACGTAGATTAGCAAATCCCGGGTGCTGGAGTCAATGAGAACAAAGTAACTGAAAGCAAAAGGAGGATCAACATCAAAACGGTTGGAATTGATGCGATGTAGGTGTAATGTCGATGAGCGACCAGCGCCAATGTCGCTGCTATTCGAACATGACTAGCACAAAATCTGTTGCAGCTGGCCCCCTAAGTGGCCATCAGATTTTGAGTATGGGAAGGAAGGCTATAAAGAGAACGATCATGAGGTGACATAGAAATTTGGAAGTAAACTTCGTATGCCATTTTTTATTAATTTATGAGTAAAGACGTTTGATTGAGTTATTAAATCATCAGGAAGAAAATAATCTACTGAAGAAAATGAAGACTTGTTATTTACTAAGCCGACTTTCGCCTATCACTTACACATATTTTTTTAGATTGTTCAGCGTACACAAGGTTGTTGTATAACCTTTATTCGGCTAAGGTCTCGACGTCTTCCTCTTCTTCTTCGTATTATTCAAAGCGGATGATCCATGTCGGTGCTCCGCAATCGTTCATCCTCGAGTTGTACGCCTTCGTTGTCGGTTCGAACGGTGTTCCACTCAAGAAGATTCAACCCGATTGGACTACGAGAACCCACAACGCGAGTGCGAACGACTATGGATCATCGACTTGAATCATCAGCGCTGAAGAATACGTAGACGTGAAAATGCTAGCCTGGTAAAAGTCATACAAGAACCTTGTGTAGGCTAAACAATCCGAACCAAAAGGACTTGTCATTGTTTTTTGCTTTCAGTGTTACCAAGAATTTCTCTCAAACATCGTACTCATGTTCCTGTAGGTTATTCCTGTAGGCTTCATAAGGAATATTAAGTTTTATAGTTATAGAAAGTTATTCAATTAGTGTGGAATTTGTTTAGTGTCGTGAATAATTCGCCGCAAGCAGATGCTGTTCCCATTCGGTGGCTGGCGCCATCGATTCCTCGTTGCTTGAAAAGTCGCTTAATCAGCGCCAAATATGGCCCTCTCTAAGTTAGGATATTCTCATATTAATTAGCAATTTCATTGGCTACTTATGAGTGTTTTCTTTTGGCTTCAATCGATTTTCATGTGGAAATTAGAATATTTAATAACTGCTCTCACTTTTGGATTGGATTGACTACTGACCATTTCTTTTCACAATGTTTGATTCAAAATTTACTTATTTGCAAGCGATATAGATTTTTGATGAGGTTACCTTCTGATTAGATGATCGATTGCTCGTGTACTTTGTGATTATATAAAGTTATTCGTGTAAACTTTGAGCCTGTACTTTCATCTTGTTCCGAATCATTGAACATGACGCTGAATTCCCGCTCTGAAGAATCATTATAGGCCTTTCGTTTATCGATTTATCGATCGTTTGGCATGCAAGCGATATTGCGAGGTATTTCGATATTATTCACCACGATCTTATCGTATAGCGTTAGTGAGTTTTGTGGAAATAATCGCATTCCGTTTGGTATAGAGGTATGCATTTTCCTTTAAATAAAGTCTAAACCTTACCTAGATATTGGCAATAAAGTACGAGTACAATAATGCTGAGATATTTGCAAAATTCGAAACCTCAGTTGCGCTTCGCACCAGTGATTGCCATTTCCGGAACGTCGCTTGTAGTTACTGCACCACCAATAATGCCCTTGCTCTGCCTTTCTCTTAGCCAGTCAGTCTGGCAGTCATACCTCAGCATTATTGTGGTTGTATTTCAAATAATGCCTTGCCATGAGAAAATAATAGGCAGTAAATAAAAACTAAACGAAATACAAGTAGTTGTGGGAAGTCACAAGCGGGTATTATAGTTCTCTTTATACCATTAAAATTATCAAATCTACAATTCTTTCTAAATGGTTTACCGCCATACCTGGGTAAGGCGATGTTTTTATTGCCAAAGTACGCTGTATGGTGGACAATTCATCTACTGATAGCTCCACTGATATTGAGGAATTCGACATTTTCATCCACCGAAAGACCGACTTTGCTAGGAATTTGCGGCCGACTCGGAAGAAAGCTAGTCACAAGGGTCGTAAATCCATCTCCCTTTGATCCACGCTGGGCGCTGATTACATCTGGCGACGACCAATGAGCGTACTTGAACGACTATCTCTGCATGCCAGGGAAACAAACAGGACACCGATAGTGTACGCTCTGTCAGTTCCTTATAGGTGCACTATGCCTGCCGATGCATGATGTCAACGTTTTTATCCTCACAGACATGTCTGGTAGCAGTTTACCGGGGCAAAAGGAATGGAGGACTGGTTAGCCCGCAGTGTTGGTTTGAACCAAAAATCATGTATTTTTCCACACACCTTTAAGCACTGCATAGTGCTGCAGTACTAGTGGTGATCGGTCGTATAAGTAACATAACTATTAAAAAATTTCGTAACTAAAGAAAAGATTTGTTTCGTATGCTCCATTCACAAGCAGCGGAATGAACATCTCCTAATGCTCCAGCTGCGTTTATCTAGGTGGAAAGTCAATATGAGGAACGACTTGACTTAAGAGTTGAGTAAGGAGGAAGCGAGCCACCCAAGAGGGTTTTCTAGAGCATCGATGGTGTAGTAAAAATGACTGAGAACACGCGAATCCGTACCCACCTTTTACACTCTACAGTTCTTGTCCTAACGTGCGCATCGGAAACCTGGTCACTACGTAATTAGGATGAAAATCACTCAGTGTTAGGGAACGCGCAGTCGACAGTGCAGTGTTAGCAGTATATTACGTCATTCTATTGAAAGAGAAGATCCGGAATTCCGATCTACATCAACGAGCAAAAATCGTAGGCGCCCTTCAACAAATATCGAAAATCAGATGTACCAGGCACGTAGTCTGCTTGAACGACAACCGGTAAGAGCGGTTAGCAACTGGATTCCTTGGGATATCAGATGCACAGCAGGAAGACCATCGATTCGATGCTCAATGCTGTTCATGGTGATCTTAAAAGAAGGATATGGTGTTCAACGAGTCTTTGGAGCGGGCAGAACCCAGTGGGGTGGTCGATTGGCGACAAGGAGAAATGGGAGGTTTGCTGGTGCACGCTCGACTCACTCGATGTTCAGCGGGACGTCACGTGATGTAGGTGATCATAATAGTGCCAGCGGTTCGTGTAGCGCAGTGGTTAGAGGTGCTATGCAATACACACACGGTCATTGGTTGAATCCCGCTCCTCGGGCTCACCAGCCCCTCCGTTTGGGGTCGGCGAATTGGTACCAGATCAGTTTTGGAGTAGCAGCACTGACTTAGTAGATAAGTGGACTACCACAAGCGACTGTATAGGTGAGGTATGCCGTCAATCACGTTTTACACCGCTGTAGAACCTGTAGCGCGTCCATCAGGGATTGATCCATACTGAAAGCTTTTTTCTTTGTCCTTTTATCATTATAATATTAGCCGTCAATTCACTTTATTGCAATAGTCTTATTCAGCAACGCTTGCACTTAAATATTTGCATAATTAAATGGCCCCATAATCAAAAACACTTAAATATCTTGGGACGATTTCTGTCTACTCACCTACAAACCTTTCTTGTTCCTGATTTTCTGCCGTATTTCCAACAAATTAACTTAGGGAACTAAGCACGTCTTCTCATCATATGAATAGATTCTTTAGGGAGTAGAAAATTTTGTCCATACTCAGTCGATTTTGTTCAGCACGTGAATGTTTCATCTATGTTCCAACTTTTAAATGCTCTACGCCAGACTACGAAAGTGAGATAGTTGTCAACTTAGAAATCCAAAGCCACTCTAGTTAAACGACTTGTAGTTTGGAACACCTCTGTTTATCAGTTTATGGATAATGTTCTTAACGGGTTTATGCCTTAATTCGTACCCAGCTCCATATTAATATGCCGGAAGAGAACTTCTAAGCCGATTGAATGGACTTAGACGTCTGAAGTTCATCTGTGGACATCGACTTCTCTGAGACTTCAAACGGCCACCGCTTCCTGTCGCACATTCATATAATCAAACATGAAAATTTTTTGTCGGGAAAACAAATATCCGAGAACATAGATTTGCACACGTCGACGTTATTCAGCGCAGACGATTGTTGAACGGCTTCAAGGAATATAATTTCATTCTGTACAACGCAAAGGATTAAAAGGCTATGTAATAGTGGTACAGGGTTATCAGTGGAACAAATATACAACATACGGCATGGGGGGAGTGCGGGGGTGTTCCATGAGTGAGCAGCTCGAAATGGTTCATTTTTTGTTTAGTTCATCAAGATTTTATGCTAGGCTATACTCTGAGTCCCACTGCCTGCTAAAACATGAAACATTTGTCAAAGCTTTTCCTAACCTAAACATGGACAAATTCCTACTTCACATATCTGCACGTTGAGGTACACTACAGCAGTTGATAAAGCATTGATGGATTACTTATTAGCAGTACTAAATTATTAAGTGGAAACTTCTCAGATCAAGGATTGACATCATTTCCACCTTTAAGATCTTCTATTAATTTTTTCTGAAGATAGCCGTAAAAGTGGGCGTGGCTTATTGAAACTGTTTCAGGTGCACAAAGACGGCCATTTAATTTTATTATGTTCACGTCCGAACTGTCATGAGAAAAAATACGCGGTTAGTTGATTGATGTTCAGTTTTATTGCCACTTCACGATTCAGTTCTCATAATTCCATTTTAAAAAGAAAACGATTTAACACTTACGCGACGACGTGGTCCTTTTAGGACTCTCACAGTGCGAACTTAATGGCCTCGCCAAAATAATGACCACTTACCCCTCTAGACCAGAATTTCTCATCTCGTAATGAATTTTATTGATTCCAATAAGGGGTACTGTAATCTAAAAATCTTTTCTTATAACAGAAATGCTCTCTTATTTCAATGCGATAAAATTTCGAGCCCATGAGTTTTTTCTGGGTCTCATGGACCTTTCCACTTTATTGATTCAACTTTCATGCTGTCTCATATTCTTCATATCTCGGGCGTGGAAGTAAATGAAAAGCGAGATTTTATCCAATACGACACGGTGGTCTTTTCCAATGTGTCGTTTGTGTTCACAGCCGCCGTTCTTCCGTTTGAAAGTTTTAAAATTTAAATATTGTTATCAAATTTTCGAGAGTTCTAACTTTAAATATATCTATGTTTGAAAGGAGTTCTTGTAAAAATTATCTGTGCGATTAATGCGGTAGAGGAAAGTTTCTTTTATAAATCTTTAAATTTCTGAACACCTAAAATGCTCCAGTAATCGACCGATTATCGTACTCATCAAGGAATCATCTTCGTCGCGAAACACTTAGTAAAAGGATTTCCGTTTGATCTCTTTTGTTCTTTTCATCATGTTTTTGTTTCTTCTCTCCTCTGTTCGTTGATAGATAAGTTGTTGATTTTTATGGAGTTGATCTTTAAGGAATGTGATGAACGAGCGTTTGTGAAATCATGTTCAAGTAACACGTCATGGGTGGGTGGTCTGCAAAAAACAGTGGACAATCAGTAAGTGAAGTAAAAAAAATGCACTAGAGTTTATAAAGAACAAATCTAGCAAGTTAATTCGAACTGTAAGCTCCTTAAAAATTTTTAGGCTATACTTGCAATGTTGTGAATATCCATTGATGAAAGACTATGCACAGTTAGCGTATAGTAATGTAAGTTGAATATTTGTCTCTTTGCATAGGTTATCAATTCTGTCTAGATACCATAGAAAGTTAATCTCCATCAACTCATCCTGCGTGTAGCACAGTGGTTGGGGGTCCCCTGCAATAGAACTAGGTAGCTGGTTCGATCTTGTGCCCTGGGCTCACCAAGCCTTCCTTATCTCCGAGTTTGACAAATTCGTACGAGACTTGTCTGGGAGAATAGCAGCACTACTTTGACACACATCAGTAGGACACCGCGAGTTGTTGTATAAACCAGATATGCATTCAGTCACCATACATTCAGTCACCTCTAATGATGCTTAGTAAAGTCGAATGCATGGCGCATCCGTGAGGGATTGATCAACGCCGAATGCTTCATCCTTTTCACCTCCATGGTAGCCGTCTAGTGTAATGGTAGAAGATGCCATACAATATACACACGATCCTTGATTCTATCCCACACACCGGGCTTGTCAAACTTTTCATCCTTTATTTGATACTTGATACTTGAGCGACCCATCCCCACTAGTTGTGCGGGTCCCATCATAGTCACAATTTTTCGGAGATTTGCTGATTAAGCCATTGTGGTTCCCTGGAATCCTGAGGACAGCCTGGCCAAAGTTTGCTCCAGGTCGCCACCACTACGGGCAGTCGCAGCCCTTGTGGATCAGAGGGAGATTTACCACCATGCGACTTTGATACCAAGACGCTGGTGTATCCTGGTATTGGTTTACTCTCAGCTAGGCTTCCTGATGGAAATGTCGGGACTCCTTCTCAGCTTGGGAAACCTTGCCGGTAGAACGAATCCCCCCGCTGTACATCGCAGTCCGACACCGAGGAACACTTCCCAGACACGATGAGGCGGTAAACCGTTGGGAGGTTCCATCTTTCAGGAGTTAGCAACTTGGTAGCAGACTTGTCTGAGAAAATAAAAGCATCGAGTTGAAAAATCGGCTACAAAATCTAAAAGGCTTGAGAATATATGCAGCTTTCTTACGTGGTTGGTCAATATATGGCGCTTCATCCTTTTATCTTCTATCGGCCATATCGCTTGTAACCTTTTAGTCATCGAATATTTCTAACCGAGCACTCACTAAGGTCTTAACTCGTCCTTATGGGCTGTCAGTTTTACTCATTGAGCGCTCGCATTACACATAAACTTTGTGTATGACGCCCTTTGTTTCTAATGTTATGCGCAAGCTTAGCAGTGGCTAGCTTGAGCTCTGATGTGTTACATATCTATTCTTAAATGGATGTAAATACAGAAATTAGCTTCGAAGCAGTTGGTAATGTAGCATAATGAATAGTGTATTCAGTTCATTCCCCCGTATCCATAGTCCCCGAAGGTGCTCGAAATTTTGCGCCTCTGTTCGACTGCTACTTGAGGATTTTCATCTTTTTCATAGTATAGTATCATGAATCTCATTTAATTCTGGTCAAGTCGATTCTTGTTGAAATCTTCGAATAACTTTGCTTAAGCGTTCACACACACACATTAGAGAGAGTGAACTTGTCCCAGACAAGTCTGGTACTTGTTTCCCGACTTCTAAGGGATAAGAAGCTGTGTGAGCTCGATGAAAGGTCGAACTAGGTAGGGCATGCGTAGGTTGGTCCGTGGGCAATGAACGAGATCACTACCGCTGAGCTAACAAGTCTTTTATAATAATAGTAAAGATAATAACATGTATTCTTTCACTGGAAACTAATACGGGATTGATAAACACACTATTCGGCTAACGTTTCGGCTCTTTCGCCTTCTTCAAAGCCGGCTTAGTCCAAATCGATTGTCCACAGTTGTTCCTTCTTCTGATAGGGGTCTTCGTCACTACATCGAAACGAATCCAGTGGAGCACAGCTCGAATCACATTTTCAACTAGTAGTTTTTTTTATACGACCCATCTTTACGTCTACTGTAGGTATCCCAACCCTTTTCTCTTCCGCGAAGGTCCTCCAACTTTGACGCATAGCTTCGGCTGCTGCTTAAGGATTTTTCATTTCATCTTTGAATGTCGTAGAATTCTGGTCGATTCGATTCTCCTTGGAGTCCTGGGATAGCCGGTCTTCGAATAACCTTGCTAAAACGGGTTGTACCGTTCCCATTTGAATTGCAGACAGTGATTTCTTCCAGAGCGAGTCCGGTACCAATTTCCTGACCCCGGAGCGATGAGAGCTTTGGTGAGCCTGGAGCGAAATTGAACCAGCACTGTGCTCGCGATGATCAGCATCACTACCACTGTGCTCTCCTCCTGGTTATAATAATAATAAATCATAACGACAGTAATAATAGTAGGAAAAGGACAAATCTCTAGGCGTTGATCAATCCCTGAGTGATGTGCCACGCATTCGACTTCATTGGACATCGTTGGAGGTGATTGAATGCATATTTGGCCTTTACAGTGACTCGCGGTGGCCTACCGATGTATCGAGCCAGCGCTGCTATCATTCCAGACAAGTCTGGTGATAACGTACCGACCTCGCGGTGATGGAAGGCTTGGAGAGCCGCCGGCGCTGGGATCGATCCCATGTGTTTATTGCAGGGCGCCTCCAGCCACTGCACCACACGCGGCAGTAATAATAGTGGTGGAAATAATGGCAATAACATCAACAGCAATAATAACAATAATATCGTGAAGGTGGTCGTCCGTCGTGGTGAATTTTTCGAAGCTGAAGAACGTTACGACAAAAACGATGAGAATGTTATTCATTTCGATCTAATCTCCAACATCAAGAGAGGTGAAGATGATAAAGGGTAGGCTTTCCAGCGATCGTTCTTACTTTGAATCTTCTTCGCTTTTCTTAAATAAATTATACATGTATATACATATATACTTGAATACTTGGATGGCCTGTCCTCACTAGTTGTGCCGACCCCAGCATAATCTCCACTTTTCGAAGTTTTGCTGGTTTAGTTGTCGTGTTTCTTTGGAGTTCCAAGGTCAGCCTAGGCAAAATTTGCTCCGGGTTGTCACCACTATAGGCAGTCGCAGCCCTTGTGGATAAGAGGGAGGTTTCCCACATGCGACTAGTTTGATAGGAGAATAATGGTCAATCCTGGTATTGGTTTACTCTTAGCTAGACTTTCTGATGGAAAAACCCGACTCCTTCCTCAGCTTGGGAGAGAGACCGTGCTGGGAGATGAATCCCACCGCTGTACATCGCAGCCCGACATTCAGGAACACCTCCCAGCCACGATGAGGGGGTAAAGCGTTGAGAAGATATATATATATTATATATATATATATATATGTATATAGTCATTTAAACGGATCACCTTGATTATTGCTTAATTGGGAAGCTATTTTGTGCTAAAATTCTGGAAGAAAAAGCTCCAATTCTAGGCTAGTCTGCTAAACTCCACTTATAAATTAGAGAAGTGTTCTGCCGTTTCCCAGTGAGACTGGAACACGGCTACCAATGTTGGAATTTCGTTTTGCGTATTTGGACACATGAATACTTAAGTGACTCTGCTTTACAAATATTCGGATGGACCTCAGTGTAATTTCCACCTGAGTGAAAATTCACGATGGGGCCACATTTTCTGAGTACAGAGTACCGAGACAGCTGCGGTAAAGCTTTCTAGAAATCTCACAATAGACATTGGCCCATTTTGCTACTTTTGGATTATGCTTCCACGAAAACTGTTGGTTCTTGGCGTTGGTTTATTCTTATCTGTGCTTCCGATGTAGTTGTCAAATTCTATCTCAAGTTGGGAGACGGCGTCTAAAAACCCTATTGACTAAAATTAAGTCGTATACCATAGGGCAAAATTGAGCATAATATTGTAGTACATCTTCTTCATAAAACTAATCTGTTGCAGTCTTAATGAAACGTTTCTTACACATCGCTCTTCATCTTCATTTCATCTTAATATCTCCGAATGCTTCATTTACGTTTGTCTAGGTCGGAAAATCAACATGATGAACGACATAGGTGCGGAGTTGAGCAGAAGGGAACGCGCGACTTGGGGAGCTTTCAAGAGCATCGACGATATAGTGAGCAGAACAAAGAACAGTCGACTTTGTTCTCACCTTTTCGACTCCACGATACTTTCCACCTTAACGTATGCGTCAGAAAGCTGATTTCTGCCTAATCAGGATGAAGGATCGCTCAGCGTTATTGAACGCGCAGTCGAAATGACGATGCTAGGAGTACCTCGTGTCACACAAATAAGGGAAGGGATCCGAAGCCCCGGCCTGCATCAACTACCAGAAATCAAAGATGCCGTTCTATACATCAAAGTGTCGAAGGTGGGCCGGACACGTAATGCGTATGAACGACAATCGATGGACAAGAGCCGCTAGTCACTGGGTTCTTCGGGATGTCAAACGTAGTGCAGGAAAACTGGCGATGGTCACAGTTTTTCACGAAGAGCCTAGAAGAAAGATATGATGCTCGACGTGTCCTTACGGCGAGAGGAACCCACTGGGCTACTCTTGCATGCGATAAGGAAGTGGAAGATTTACTTGGGCCTCCACGATCAACGGTACGAGAGATGATACAGGTGGTAAGGTTCCGGAGTTATTTTGCATAAGCTGCCTCCTTGGAGGTCGACATCTAAACGGCTCACATTGGCGCTAACTAGTAGATGGAAAATGAGGTCATTCAAATTGGATCGTTGTTTTGAAAACAACTCTTGTCACGTTGACATGAAACCCTTCTGACGAACAGCACCGCAACAAGACATTAAATTTGTCCTATTTGAAGATGTTCGCCTGTTACTTTCTCTGTTGTTTTAGAATCTTATATAGAATTCTAACATTAATTTTTCAACATCAAACATCTTTTCCAACTATTTAAAAGTGAGTGAGGGCAGCGAGTTAGAATCGAACCCTTTGAGGAGAACCTCGTTATTTTTGTGATCTTTTGGCACTGGGGAATTTGATTACACGATGCCTTATCAGAAGACGAGGTCCAGAACTGTGAATATCCTCGCCAGAGGTCTTCTTTCTTTGACCACATCGAAATTTATGCAAAGTGAGGAATGCCGTGAACTTCATGCAAACACCTATTTATTTTTACGCTTGGGAAACATTGATGGAAATTGGTGAAAGGTATAAAAAAGAGCTGCACTATTGGAAGAAATTGAAGAGTCACCCGTAAACGACAAAGCAGTGATTTTTTTTTACCAGAAAGATAGAATTCTCTCCAAAGAAAATCCTTCTGCACTTTCAAAACCCGAATATTTTAGAGAGTACTACTCACTGACAATCCATCGGTACTTCTGTGGAAGAATTCCTGACACACCACCTGACTGGTACTTAAGAAGAAATTGGCCTTACTGGCCAGAAAACCAGACGTTTTAGTTCAGTTAGCAAGCAGAGACGGACCTGTTACATACATTCCAAGATCAGAATTGATCTTACCACATTACTGTCCATGTTTAGTTTATTCTTTGCTATTTTGTTTATCAGTTGATTCTTCTTTGTCTACTCTTGTTTATTTTCATCACCAAACTTCAGGAGTTTTGTGAACGACTTACTGTTTCAATTTATATTCATCCCTAGAAAACTCCTCACTATGTGGTTCACGCTTAATTTACTTTCTAATTCACTTCACAAACAGCATGTTGCCTCCTTTTTCAATTGTGATATCTCACCTAATCGCTTAGAATCATGGCTGTCGACGGGTCAGAATTACTTTATCAGTTCTACTAAGGATTCCGTTTTGTTTTAATCAAAACAACATATTTTTTGTCGAGCTTTCTATTTCAACTCGCGTAAGCTAAGTGACTCATTTCCCTTTGAAGTATTCGTGATATTCGCAGACGGGATAGATCGTAATGGTTTTGAATCCAGAAAAAAAAGAATAAGAACAACAAACTATTCGGAAAAGGATAACCTTTACGTGACTTATAAAAGCCCTTAATGCTTACGGCTTTTAACTAAATAACGTTATTACTGCCCAAATAACTGTAAGTACTTCAAAAAATGTCTTGTAGAAGTAATTCGAATATCTCTAAATACAGCTTTTCTAGCTGAGCGACAGGAGAAAGGACCCGCATGGTGTGGTGGTGAACGCGTTACTCCCCAGAAAGGACAATAGCGCGTTCGTTCTCCACCGCAGACACCTGCGGTCCAGAATTTTGCAAATATCTCAGCATTATAGAAGTTATATTTCGCAACATACCCTGCCGTTGAAAAGAATAGCCAGTAAATAAAAAAGCTAAAAGTGTGATTAGAAATATATCCAGATCTGAAGCGAATTTTGTAAGTTCTGCAAAGAAAAAAAGCAAACGAAGCTCTGATGGCAGTAGAAAGGTTTTCTCACCTACTGTGATATTGGTGCGCGGTAAAAGGATAAAAAGGTAAAGCTCTCCGAGTTGATCAATCCCTGAGGGATACATCACGCATTCGACTTCAGTAAGTATCGCTGGAGGTGATTGAATGCATAACTGAACTTTAAACTGACTCGCGGTGACGTACCGATGTATCGAACCAGTGCTGATATCTTCCCAAACAAGTTTAGTACCAATTTACCGACCTCGGAGCGGAGGGATAGAGGGCTTGGTGAGCCTAGGGAGCGGGGATCCATCCCATGTGTGCTGCAGGGGGCCTCCGACCACTGCGCTTCACGCGCCTACGCTAATTAACGCCACCCAAAACTATCCACAACGTCTACCGAACTTTGGAGAATCAAAGCAAAGAGCGCATTTCCACAAAACAAACGACAGAAAGAGAGTTCATTTATGATTTTGTTATTGTTCGTCCACCGATTTCTTGCAGAGATGAAAATGGCATGTTGTTGGAGAAATGTACAGTACGTGCCTCAGGACCAAGCGGCTCAAATGCGCAAGGGCAAGTGATCATTAGAGTTCGATAAACGTGTCTCTCTTCACGTGCAATCTATCGCATAGCGTTAAACCATAAGAAAGCTTCTATTCAATAAGTGATAAAAAAAGGATAAAACTCTCGGTGTTGATCAATGCCTGAGGGATGTAACATGCAATCGACTTCATTAAGTATCGTTGGAGGTGACTGAATGCATACCTGGCCTTTACTAGCGGTAGATGTATCGGGTCAGTGCCACTGTCCTACTGTATTAGTCTGGTACCAATCTATGGAGACGGATGGAGAGCTTAGTGAGCCTGCACGGGGATCGAACCCATGTGTATTGTAGGGCACCCTCGACCACTGCAGTACACGCACCCTTTTTGTAGTGAGGTAACTCATGAAATGGTTTCAAAGCATGCTCAACGGGAAACCTGAACGGTGTCTCATAATAGGGGCTCCAAGTAGTGCGTATACTTTGTGGTATTCGATTCCAAGTAAATTGGCCATTCACCCTGTATGGCTTTTTAGTTGCGCTATTTTTCCTTTTGCTATAAGCGCTGTGTGGTCTGATACAAGGTTATACAAGCGAAATAACTGGAGTATAACTTCTCTGGTATTAATATTGTATCATGACAAGAGATGAAGTGAAAACTTCGTTAGGCAGAATTGGCATTTGCGAATTCAGACAGTTGATCAGAATTGTCCCATTTGAACTGCAAGGAAAAAATTTCGCTTTCTATGCTGTTGTTCTACGGCATTAGCAATCGCTATTTATTACTAGCAACGACAGCAGCGTAGTAGGCAAACCACATTAAAGTCTAGCCTTTTGTTCTCAAGTATTTCTCGTTCGTAACCTTCCGGTAGTGTTGTAGTGTGCTGTCCGGTAGTGTAGATGTAGTGTTATGTCTCAAATGCTGCATATTTTGAGCTACATTGAAGCCTGTGGCAAGCATCTTGCGACGTCGGGCCTTAACTGGTCTCTATTACGCTTTTGTAACGACAGGACATCGAGTAACACATTCCCATCATAGTAAAGTTGTTGCTCCGCTCTCGGATGATTGTAAGTGCTCTTAAGAGCCTACGGCTGGATCGAATCCTTGTACAAAGGAGGAGGAGGCTATGCTTGGAACCCGCGAGTGTACTATTCATTTTTGTAACTATATGGTTTATCCACATGTTAGTCATGCCATTATGTGACTATCATGTCCAATAATGATCTCATTTCATCCTGAAAAGTAAGCCAACGAATTAAAAAACATGTGAACCAAAACTCAATAAGACTATTTCTACGACGTCGATTAGAAAACAGGATAGAATCCAACTGGATAAACATCTTCCAACATGGCTACCTACGCACTTATGAAAGCCGTGTGAAATCGAGCACTTCAGAGAACACCGAAACCACAGCACTTTCCTGTGAAATCAACTTCTAATGAGCTTCGCTGAAAACAACACATAATTTGTAGTAGTCGATGGACATTGAGATAAACTTTATTAAATATGTATAACGTAACATAAGTAAGCTTTTGTGTGCATATCGCATTTTACAAGGAAGACAGTTAAGAAAAAATTTTTAATGCAGAACTGAACAATGAAAGCCCAATGATTGAGTCGAATAGTAATTAAGCTAACATGTCGGTCAGTAGACAGCAGATTTTCATACGTATCACCACTAATTTGTTCTTATGTGAATAGTACCTTAGTGAATTGAGCAAACGATAGGTTTGTTGTTTCTACAAAACCACGTCTCCCATACCACTTCTCTCTGTCGGCAACTACTCCTTTAACTGAGATGAACAATTCAAGTAGATTTTCGAAAGAATTTACAAATTATGTGCCTACTGAAAATATACAGACTTCAAAATACAGAGCGTACTGTCACACATGCAAAAAAACATAAAGATGACTCATATATATATATATATATATATATATATATATATATATATATATATATGCCATCATATAAGGCAATTAATGAAATATTTAAGTGACAAGAAATGGGAGGAGACACGAAAGCAGTTGGTATAGAAATAGAAAATCATCGCATAGCTACTATACGGTCATGGCTGAAGTAACTAAGAACTGTACTGATACTTAATGTAGTTGATGCAATACAGCAAAAAATAAGGTTAATCCACTATGCTTCTCACGCAGGTTTTTATAATTTAGGAGCATCACTTAGCCACAGATTGTTCGGAAATCAAAGAGGAATTTGTAGCTCTACTTTTCTTCCATATGGTTTGGCAAGTTTTTTTTTCGAAACCTATACTACCGTATGTCATCGCGGACCTCATTCTACGGACTTCCACTAAAGCACAATAAAAGTACGATATAAATTTTTTTGTTGACAAATTTCTAAAGGTTAGGATATCAGATGCTGGAACATAAATGTCGACAAATCTACTACTACGAATTCAAAATCCGGATGTACGTATTGCGTACTACTCAAAACGTTGAGGTATGGTGACGAAGGATAGTTGATGAATTCAAAGAGCGATTCAAAAATCTCGTCATGGCGAACCCACCTTGAAGATAAAGAAAGTCGTCGACACCCTTCTGCCATGACTACGACGAATAGAAAGGTTATGGTGGAAGTAAATATATAAACAATTGTTCCACAACCTCCAGAGAAACAATGTGTAAGCATTTCAGCTGTTTATTGGAGTATTTGAAAAAGAAAACTGGGAATTCAAAGAAGCTAGACAAAAATATGCTGTGGGAACAAACCAGCTAGACTACTAAACTCAGCCTTATCCACCATAGTCACTCGGCCTCTCGCCACATTCTACCACTACTTCAAGCACCTCGATAACTTCCAGAAAAGTTTCAGAAACAAAGACGAGGTCGAAATTGCCTTCAATGACTTCATCGTCTCCAGAACTCTAGAGTTCTAAGAAACCGGAGTAAAAAAAAAACTTGATTCTAGCTGGTCAAAATGTGCAGATTCTAATCGATTTCATTTCGACTAGTAAAGTTTGCTCTAACCTGAGATATGCAACTTTAAATATACGCGTTGAAAATCCTCTATCAATTTCCGAACTTAATAAGTAACACTCATCGTGGTACAGCTGTGTAAGAAGTGTGAAACATTGGACATCTTCAAAGTATGAAAACTGCAATGGATCTTTGGGTATTTGATTTCTTCCTACATCTAAATTTGAGCTAAGGATTAGCCTGCCGCACTAAGGAGACCGACATGAGAAATATGAAAATGGATTATTTTGAGGACGTCGAACCCCCTTCCAAGATATGGAACGGAGTGGAAATTTTCTCCTCAACAAAGAATGGTGTTCTTACGGCATCAGTACCACGAAAAACAAAATCGTAACTGAATAATGCCAGGTAACACTTGCAACTTCTTACTAGGAAGCGAACAGATTGTTCAGAACAGTCCACACTGACGCAGGTTCTCGCGAATAATGATATCCGTCACAGCATCAAAGACGAAGCGTATATTGTTTGTGTCTGTTGCACAGGTAAAATGTGTGTAGATCTCCTTCTGGCCATCTCGACGTTTGTTCATATTTTCGAACTGCAGCTGCATGTACGCAGCGGCTTCTTCGTACGTGTTTGCTCCTACAAGATCATCGTTCACGCTTACTTGAGTTTTGTAATGCCAACCAAAAGCAGTAAAACCCCTTCCTAATACTACTAAGATTACAATTTTCATCAAATAAAAAAATATTTTGTGCCCAATACTTATACTTTACTCGAATATTTAGATGGGCCGTCTTCACTGATTGTGCGGGCCTCAGCATAAATTCCTTTCTTTCAGAATTTTGCCGATGAAGTCATTGTGGTTTCCTAGGGTCCCGAGGTCAGCCTAACAAAAGTCTGCTTCAGGTCGTCACCACCACGGGCAGCCGGCCGCCCTTGTGGATCAGAGGGAGATTTACCACCATGCGACTAGTTTGATATGAGGACGGTGGTGTATCCTGGTATTGGTTTACTCTTAGCCAGGCTTCCAGATGGAAACGTCGGACTCCTTTCCAGCTTAAAAGACTCTGATGAAAGGATGAATTCCTCCGTTGAACATCGAAGTCCGACACCCAGGAACACCTCACGGCTATGATGAGGCGGGGAACTGTTGGGAGAACCTATATTTAAACAAATCATTTTACCTATACAAAATCAGTATCAGAATCAACGTTTGAAGTACAAGTCTGTATACTCTTTCTAACAAATGCTTATTATCCATCTAATATCCATTAGTCGAATCAAATTATAAAAGAAAATGTAAAATTTAAGGACTGAAGTGAAAAACAACATAAAAGAGCAATGTAAAGCAAGACTAACCAGTATACTCAGGAAAACAGCGTGTAAGAGGAGATCTCTTGATTTTCTCCTCGAAAAGATCTTTCTTATTCAGAAAGAGAATAATAGATGTCTCAGTGAACCATTTGTTGTTACAAATAGAGTCAAATAGCTTCATTGATTCTATCATACGGTTCTGAAACGAAAATTACCCGATTTCAGACCAGTTACATCTCCTCTGTCGTGTTATCCCATAAACTTATAGATCGGACCTCCACCCATGGACCTAGGAACCACGAACAGCGCACACTGTTCTCGGCTGCAACCCCAAAGCCATAACAAAACGAAGAAAGTATTTCTCGAAAACTGCATAGCATCAAATAACAAACTACCATTTCGTCATCTTCAGCTAATACCATGTCATATTCGCTCATGGCAACGCAAAATATTATGGCGGTAACTCCTTCAAAACAGTGAATCCATTTTTTTCGTTCGCTACGTTGACCACCAACGTCGAACATCCTAAGAATGTTTTTGCAGTTAAGGAAAACCAGGAAAACCATAACAGCTAATATTCAATAACTTTACTAGACCATTAAATGCATCAAAGAGTTTAGTGAATGAAGTATTTACTTGAAGTGTAAATCCTTGTAAGTGAAGTGCGTTTCAACGATGCCCGTCGTTTTAACACGCGTTCGCAATACATCATCCTGAAATCCATGAATTTTGTGACTACGTTCCAACGAAGACAAAGAAAAAGTGGGTATCTCAAATCTAACCTGCGTAGGGATGTAGTTCGGTTGGGCTATACGTTCCAATGCATTCAGATAGTACGGCGCAGAATCATTTAATTGAAATTCCCGAGACCTAGACGTAAAGTTTAGTAAATATAGTTAATCGTACTATAAAACAGAATATATCGATTTTAAGCCACTCACGTACACAAGGACTGTCTAAGATTGAAAATTGGAAGTTAGTCGGATATTACACATTTGTCATGTAATTTGAATAGGCGCGTGTTGTGCGGTGGTCGGAGGTGTCCACCAATACACATGGGATCGATCCCCGCGCACAGGTTCACCAAGCTCTCCATCCCTCCAGGGTCGGAAAATTGGTACCAGAATTGTCTGGGAGGATAGTAGCAATGGCTTGATACATCGATAGGCCACCGCGAGTCATTTTAAAGGTCTGATATGCAATCAATCACTTCCCACAATGTTCAGTGAAGTCGAATGCGTTCCTCAGGAATTGATTAATGCCGGAACCTTTATCCTTTTATCATGTAACTTTGGAAAACGTGTAGAGCGGTTAGAGGTGCCCTGATATCCAAAGTTAGTTGTCGGTTCGATCCCACATCCTAGTCTAGCAACACACACCAACCTCTCGAATAGAAAAAAACACTGACTTGGTGCTTTGATAAGCTATCGCAATTCTATAAGTTCGACTCACACTCAATTATCTTTACGACGCGTTATATAAAATCCAATTCATGGCTCATATGTCCCTCAAACGAGGGATAAATCAACACCGAACATTCTGTCGTTAAATGTAGTTAAATGAACCGTGTAATCATCAAACAAATGAAAACAAAGGAAAAAAGTTGATGCATTAAATCCCTGAGGAATATGCTCATTTACTCGATTTCATCAAGCATCGCTAGAGGATTAAAAGGTACATCAATCTACCGACCCCGAAAACACGGAACGCTTAGTGAAGTCGACGCTCGATATCGGACCAATGACCACATGTGTGTTTCATGGAAACTAACCACTGCACTACACACGCTCCACTTTGAATTACAACAAGTAGGATGACGATGTCAAAAAAAAAGAAAAAAGGAATGTATCGCAAATGATAAAACTAACCTCGAAAAACATTCCTGAATCCCACGATCAGCCCACAAACGCTTCATGACGCTAGCAAGATCCGGTGGCAATTCACCCTTAATGTCTTCTATATACCCTTTTACATTTAATCCCAACTCCTTTTGTAGGCGCTTTAGCTTCTAGGTGGAGCATGGAGATATAAATACGGAATAGTAACCACCATATACCAACCCCAAGAGGTGGATTTAGACAATGCGACCTTTCATCTGATCTCAATCACGCTTAAGTGTATGATTAAGTGTAGAGTATGTATTTTGGATGTTAGTTCGGCGAAAAGGCTGTGGAAAAAAGGATGGGAAATAGATGCGATACAGTACGGACCACCAACCAGATAAGCCTTATGTGTACCCAAAATGTGGCCATAAATATGTTCAGTACTCACGATATAGCTCGAACCGAGTATGCCCTTGAAACAGAAACAATAATACAACCACAATGACGCTGAGACAATACCAAAACTCGTGTCTGCGGTGGGGATCGAACACACTATTACCCTTTCCGGGGATTAACTCGTTCACCACCACACCATGCGGGTCCATCGTTTCGCTTTCATTCAGCAAGTTTTCTACAATGTCTAGGAACAGTAATGGTAAAGAGTGTCATATGAAAATTATAATGGTAATGGTGTCTCTTGAGACAGCTGAGCATTCTGGGCTGTTCAGCAACGCTACAGCCAACAACACAGGCAGCACTGGTGCTCACTCGCGTAAGGTTCAGACCAGTACTGGTAAAACCACAAAGCCTTCCGAAGTCCTAGCTAATGTGATTATTTCCCACGTCGCAAGACTATTTATGCAAAAACGATTTCCATGAATACAACAACACATATTCCACCGTAAAGTAGTGGCTAGAAAAGAACCAACAGTAAAATTACCTCATCGCATGTCTGGCTAATACTGAAGAATTTATGAGCATCTTCTACACGAGAAGGTGATTCAAAATCAATTTTCAACGTTCCCATAGCACGAAGAAGAGCAACCATCGACTATAATAGAGCAAAATCAAATTCGACTTTAGACAACTACTACGAAACTTGAAAATAATGAGCTGGTTAACAGAAAAATAACAAGACATACAACATAAATAAAAATAAAGGATAAAACTCTCGCCATCGATCAATTCCTGAGGGACGCGCCATGCATTCGACTTAATTAAGCATCCTTTGAGGTGAATGCATATCTGGCCTTTACAATGAGTCGCAGTGGCCTACTGATGTATCGAGCCAGCACTGCTATCTTATCAGACAAGTTTGGTACCAATTTGTTGACCCTGGAGGGATGGAAGGCTTGGTGGGCCATGGATGCGGGAATCGATTCCACGTGTGTATTGCAGGGCTCCTCCGACAACTGCGCTACAAGCGCCTCCGAAATCCCATTCGTCACCCCGGCAGGGTCTCCCAAGCTAAGAAAGAGTCCAGCATTCCCAATCAGGAAGCCTAGCTAAGAGTAAACCAATACCAGGATCTATTATCTTCCTAGTACCAAACTAGTCGCATGGTGGTAAATTTCCCTTTGATCCACAAGAGCGACGACTGCCTGTGGTGGAGATGAGCTGGATTAGACTTTGGTCAGACCGATCTCTGGATTCCAGGGAATCACAATGGCTAAACCAGTAAAACTCCGAGAAAAAAATTGGAGATTATGCTGGGCTCCAAACTACCAATGAAGACGAGCCATCCAACTATTAAAGTAAGCATAATGTGATAACGCTCACCTGTATTGTATTGCTAAAAACCACGGGCCGATAGTTCTTTCGTTCCTCATCGCTGTAACCAGTTTCGTGGATGATTTTCATTTGCTTCACGATCGTACTTTTTCCTGATTCTCCGGCTCCCAAAAGTAACAGCTTCACTTCGCGAGAGGCACGTTCTCCATCAGCTTTTAACTGGAACAGTTTGATTGGTAATAAGCAACACATGGATTCTAATAAGGTAAAATCGATAGTTTTTGCTAAAAAGTAATGAGAACTGCTCATAAATCCCTTCATGACCCTCACATAAATGAACAAAAGTAATAAACATTAAACAGACGAGGTAATAAAAACCAAACAGAAATTGATTTGCAACATTCTAACTGAACGTTGTAAATTTGTCGCGGCTCATTTAAAAGAGAAGAAGAGCACTTTACTTTAAAAACCCACTACCATTAACCTTCGGCAACAATAGGTCAATACCTCGGCTGAGAGAAAGGCGAAATGAAGGACCCGCATGGTGTGGTGATGAACGCGTTAGCCCCCGAAAGGGTAATAGCGTGTTCGATCCCCGCCGCAGACAACAGTGGCCCACAGCTTTGCAAATATCTCAGTATCATCATGGTTATGCTTCACATAATACCCTGCCATTGAAAAAGAGTAGCTACTAAATAAAAAATTACGACATTCGGTAACAATAATCAATACTTCTAGCTCAACGATAACGAGAAGAGAACTTTAGATGTGTCAATTTCTTCCTCATCCATGTTCTTTCCTTTTCTTCATTAGTCTCACAGAATGGCAAACATAGAGGAATGGTTTAACAAAACGAGTAGTAAGACTTAAGACTACTTCACAAGTCAAGCCATGCAACACTTTACTTAAGGAAAGGCTCTAAGTAACTTAAGGACAACAACCTGTTGGTCAATGTGCAATGATCGAAGCTTAGCATGTTGATCCGTGCTGTTCACACAGCCCATTCTGGAATCGACCAATCAAAAGACGGAAACTAATCCTGAAAACATAAATCAGATTCTAAGTTATCCAGCCCCTCATTCCTCATTAAGGTATGTCTACTGGTAAGGGAAACTGTTGCAAACCTAAAGACGCTAAGAACAATCGTGTCAGAAAAGAAGAAAATCCATACTAAAGACGAAAAAGTCATCGACGATAAAGATCTTTAAACTTGGAACTGTCCGGCATAAGTTACTGAAGAGCTACTTCGTCGTTTGAAAGACTTTCGCAATGTTCACCCAAAACTAAAGATTTATGGAAATAATAGCAAAAAGCAGAAAAAAAATAGCAAAAATGTTAAGAACAACCAGAATGGATTGTATTAAGTACTTCGAAATACCATATGGAAGATCGTAGAATTGGCCAGAAATCCCTAAATCTGAGGATGACTTGAAGAAAAGGACTGGTGGAATATACATAGTAGTACACAGTGGTACATACTAGTGAAACGTATCATACATAACTGAAGGCGACCTTTGCCAAGTAAAAAGAAAAAAGCACTAAAATGTTAATGAAAGGAGAATAAAAGAAGCCGATGAGAGCGTAGTGAAGGACTGGCAGACTCTGATATGAAAGGAAAACATGACTTCGGGAAACCCACTGGAAAGCACCGTATTTGGAAATTTAAGTATTCGAGAGAGGAAACAAACAAAACGTTCTCTGGAATGGATCCATCCCGACGACGGTCTACTGCCGGAGCCCAACGTCTCTTAGGCAACGACTTTATGAGCTTATGTATCTGGCACAGCTTTATTACATAACAACTAGGAAAGACAATGTTGAGCCATCCACTTTACAATGATAAATGACTTTTGAAAACGGCAAACGGATACGCGACAACTCGTCCTTTTCACAGGGCGCGCCGTAGAGCGTGGCCTCCCCTTGGGCCGCGAATAACTCTTCAGCAGTCACGGAGTTGCTACTTTTTTCAAACTAAACAATAACTCGCAAGACCGACTTTCTGTTAACCTCGGCATTAATTGATAATTCATTGTTTTTCTTCAATAAGCAGACACGAGGTTGTTAATATAGAATTTATTGGAATACAATAGCTGACGTTTCGGCGGTTTCGCCTTCTTCAAAGCCGTTTATTTGTTGTAAGTACTTAAGTTAGTTGATGGATAGCCGCCGCACAGAGACACAGTTATCGCCCATGCATTACTTACAACAAATAAATGGCTCTGAAGAAGGCGAAGCCGCCGAAACGTCAGCTATTGTATTCTAATAAATTCTATATTAACAACCTCGTGTCTGTTTATTGAAGAAAAACATTGAATAAACAATAACTTTTCAATAATTGAAGAACTTGAGGGATTGTGAACCATACAGCGTCGTATGTTGTGACGGCTCGTTGATATAGGAATACCAAGTAGTTAGGACAATTCGGTCGGAATTAGCTGCTCGCCTTTGTGTACGCCACGCGGGACTTCTTGTGATTGGCAGTCACAATGCCGGACACCTCAAACTTGGTTGTGACTTCCTTGACCTGATGGATCCTTTCAAGCAGCCAATGCACCAGAAATTGTTTTACATAGAGAACATTCCAATATGCGTGCAGAATGTTATCTATATCGTATAAGGGGCTTTCTTCTAGCGTTGAATGAGTAGAAATGATATGTACACTGCCATATACTATGTGTTACTATGGCCATTATGCAAGTACATTACTGTCAGCGCTTGAAAGTACTTTGTAGCCTACGTCGAGTCCATTTCGGGGTTTTTGTGCATTCTATAGAACGACCATAGTGAAGGAAATGAAGCTACAGTTAGTTGTTAGTCAAATTCACACCACCGACTTCCTATTAACCTCAACATTGATCGGGGCTATTCTGTCGAAGAGCAAACACAAGGTTGTTATTTTATCCTATATTTATGAACAAGCCGACGTTTCGGCGGACTTCGCCTTCGTCAGAGCTGGAAGGGTCAAGTTGACTGTATTCTACCCAGCCAAACATCTCCATAACCAAACAGAGAAAGTGCTTAACTAAGATTTCAATCGCCTTAAAAACAAATCAGCTTCTTCCCAAATTGAAATCATGGTTTAGAGTTTTCTCTGTTTGGTTATGGAGGTGTTTGGCAGGATAGAAAGCGGTCAGTTCGTCCCTTTCAAGCTCTGGAATAGACGAGATCGTCGGAAAGGTCAGTTTTTTTGTAATAAAGAATAAAGTAACAACTCCGTGTTTGTTCATCAAGAGAGCAGTTAGTTAGTCATAATCGTTAGTCAAATTACGAATTTGAATTGGTCAATGAACTTTACCAAAAAGTAGCTTTTGTAAGTCATTAAGGGTAGAGAATGTCTTTTCTGATTCCACACACCGCTTAAGATCTGCTTTCGACTACCTATTAATTAAATGTACGTATTATGGTAGGACCTCCCAACGGTTTACCACCTCGGCCTGGCTGGGAGGTGTTCCTGGGTGTCGGGCGGCGATATGCAGCGGAGGGATTCATTCTCTTGGCAGGGTCTCCAAGCTGAGAAGACGTGTGGCGTTTCCATCAGGATGCCTAGCTAAAAGTAAACCAATACCAGGATCCATTACCGTCCTGGTATCAAATTAGTCGCATGGCGGCAAATGTCCCTCTGAGCCACAATGGCGGCGATTGCCTATGGTGACGACGACCTGGTGTAGACTTTAGCCAGGCTGACTTCGGATTTCTAGGGAATCACAATGAATTAATTAGCAAAACTCTGAAAAATGGAGGTTATGCTGGGATCCGCACAACCGGTGAGGACGGGAGGTTCAAGTCAAGTGTTATGGTAACAAGGTTCTGGATGCTAGTAAGCTGAAAATGTGCGTTGTAGTATTATTAAAACTTCAACTTAACAGGATTCAATGCCGATTTGTGCTCCCAAGATCAATCTCTATGACGGATGATTGCTGATTGCACTTATAGAACACGGCTAAGAGAAAGGAAAACAAGGACCCACATGGTGTGGTGGTGAACGCGTTAGATGCCGGAAAGGGTAATAGCATTTTCGATCCTAACCTCCGACACCTGCGGTCCGGAGTTTTGATAAAATTTCAGCATCATTGTGGTACACTATAGTGCCTATACCGTTCTTGATTAGTTGGTTAATGGAAAAAAATGATATGCGGCACTTTTGCTTCTGGATCATTCCTTTCATATGTCTAATTTTACAATTGTTCCAAACCCTTCAATCTTAGATTTGTTTTGCACACCTGGAAAAACCCACGTTCACGTTTTTTGTGTGCTGCAAGTATAACGAGGTTCTCTTCACATGACGATTACGAAGAGTGATATGGATCGTTTTCGACGTCTTCGTGAAAAAAGAAGGACAGATCCGTTGTTTTGGGTTGCGTCTAGTTATTCGGATATTTTATCAGCTACAGTTCGCTCTAGATTCTTATCAAATATTCTCAAAGAATGACACAAATTCCCCGGCTTACAGTAGTTTTTCCGGCTGTTCACGTTCCGCGGTTTCGAAACACCGAACTCTTTTTTTTTTCATTTCATTGAAGAAACTAAATTCATTTCCATGACATCATATATTTTTTTACACGGCCCCATCTTCACGTCTACCGTGCGAATCCCAGTACTTCTCTCATTCTATTCGTTACCTCGCATCCATTATTCACGAAGGTATCTCCCAACTTTTTACGCGTGGTTTTGGTTGCTGCTTGAGGATTTTCACCTTATCGTGAATGACGAGGAGTGCTGGTCTAGTCGATTCTCGCTAGAGTCCTAGGATAGTCAGGCTAGAGCGTTCCCACTTGCATTGGGGAGAGTGAATTTTCCCCAGACAAGTGCAACACCAATTTCCCGACCCCGGAGGAATGAGAGGCTTAGTGAGCCCCGGAAGAAAATTGAACCAGAACTATGGTTGTGTTGATCAGCATCACTACTACTCTGTCACCCGTTCTCCTATACCGTACATTAACATCTTAACGACATTCATTAGTACAGGTTAAATAATCTGAATATCACTTTATGGCATGAAACGTGGTGGTAAAATTGTAAAGGCATCGAAATTAATGTTGAGAAGAGTCATGCATTATCAAACATTGTCATATTTCTTTGTATCTTCTTTTAAGTCCATTACTTTGACAAAGATTGTCTACCCGTCAAGTTCTCATTTGCCCTAAGATTTACCTAGATTTTTTAGCATTTTCCATATTCAGCTCTTGTTGTAATTACACCTCTGATTAGACCAGTAGTGTTGGTATAGTTGCTGTCTTCGTCAGATCTCTCTTTTTCAAGTCATCTCTCCTTAGCATTCACATCACTCTTTTTACTTTCTCAGATTCTAGTGGAATGTTAAACACGAGTAAGTATGAATCGTTTTCATGACACTTATTTAGCAGAAACCCTGTTATGTCACACTGCGTCGAAATATCTTGTTAAGTTTTTTTTCTTTTTTCAAATGGTTAATTATTGCTCACTTTTCTTTGAACCGACTTCCACTCGACAGAGATAATTAATCCTTTTCTAGATTATTCAGCTGACACGAGGGTGATAGAAAACTCCTTACTCGGCTAATGTCTCAACACTTTCGCCCTCTTCAATCCCTCCTTAATCCGAGTCGATGGTCTACAGGTGGTTGTCCTCGCGGCGTGAGTGTTCGTGTTCGCACCAAATCGAATTCATTGAAGTCGAGCACCGATTAAACGAAGAATCTTAATAGAAACTGTTCTCTTATACAAGACGGTTGTAGATATTTTGTCACATGGTCTGCTCCTTTAGTGGGCAATATATCCTGCAGCATTCGGTAGTTCTTTAGCTGGCACGCAGTATAACAATATCTTAAAAACTGATTTTCGTTACTCCTTAGCTAGAACAATCGACACTTTTCTAGACTCGACTAGGATTCAAGTCGATACGACAACGGACAACTCCAATGCGACGATGACTGGCTGTAGACCATCGAGATGGATCAACACGGCTTTGACGACGACGAAGACGTCGAAACGTTAGCCGAATAAAGAGTTTTGTAGTAAGCTGGTTTCACTTCAATGTTCTATAAAAGCATGGTTTGCTTTTTGTCATTTATTTTGAGCAACAACTAACATATTCGCTGATTGGTAAGTGATGATTTCGTCCAGGTTTCCTATTCTATGCAACAAAAGAGCCTTGATGGGGAGGATACTTTGCTATAAGACCAATATTGCTGAAGAATTTGTTCAGTACGTGAAATATTACTGCATTTTTCAGCGTTATCTATTTCAACTCGTCTAGAACATCACTCCTTAACGATTTCCTGGCTTGTACTAGTTCAAAGAATGAAACTGTGGTAACTAATTCATAGTGTTTCTAACATGGTGGAGAATGTTTGTGGCAGAAATTCGCTGCCTTGCAACGACATGTCTATAGAGAACTTCTCCCTTGAAAAGTTCTCTATCTATCTAAATAATAGTATTTGAAGTCCAAATATGGCCGCCTCGCACTCGCACATCAAACACCGCGATGTAACCTTTGTAATCTTCTCGATCAATTATGTTCAGTGTTTCAGGCACAATAGCGATTCAGGTGTGACTTCAGTAGCATAGCGACGATGGCTTATCCGAAGGAGGCGTAACCATAGAACAGTTTACTACTTCCTTGCGAAACAACGAAGCTAATGACGTTTGATGTTTCAGGCAGTTAGGTACAGTCTATTGCGGTCCAGGATCAACAATCCAGATTAACCGCGGTTGCATAGGCTCGCGGCTCCCGCAGCCGATATAAGCCAGGTGCCTTCGACGGCGGAGACATGCCATCACTCACCTTAGCCCCGATCGGTAGCGCGGATAATCCGCTTCTCACAACCACATCCTCAATCATCCTCAATCACCTCAACTCATTCTTAGTCATAGTCATTCATTCTTATTCAATTACATTCATTCACACATTCACATTCATCCTTCAGTAATCAACAGATTATTGTATCTTCTTTCTCAGCTTGTCTACGGTGCGATGTCAGTAGAGGCGGGGGTTACCAAATGCGTT